TTGGTTTTTAAACTTCTTTTTATTACCTCAGATTTGTTTGCTGTGCTTAGTCTAATAAGCTCCCCTTCTCACCACAAATCTAGCTGTTGGTTTTAAAACTCACTTGCCTTGGCTAGATTGATAATTCCACAGTTATCATTTTCTGCCAGTAAACTTTTCTGGTTCATTTTATATGGCTGATCATCATACCTGAAGTCAACCCTTGGTGTGGGTAAAACATTACTTATTCTTATCCTGATTCCCTTTGTGATTATTTCCAAGTTGGTCTGTTTTCTTCATTACTGGCCATATTGCCTGGAACAATACCTGGCATGTAATAGTCACTGATACATATATTTTTAAATGTATATTGTTTTACTAGACTCTCAGTCTTATTTCTCTGATTTGACCTCAAGGGATCTGCCTTTAAATTACAGTAATCTCATCCATTCTGAGGACTGAAGCTCTTTGTTTTATGTAGATGTCTCTAACACCGACATACTCAGCACATTTCTCCCACCTTCACTGTAGTACTTCAGGAATTCTGCACTCTGATGTTTCATCTATTTTGTGACATTATGTTGAAATGAAAATCATGATATTGCCTAGCTTTTAAATTCTTCCTCATTATCTATTTCAAATTATTTTATTTCTACCGTGATACCAGCTTTTTCTGTCCCTATCACCATCTCTTGTGAATCTCTTCACAATTTGTATTATGTTTATCAGCCTGTGAGATACATTTATATCTTCCCATATTTTCATGTCATACAAAATGATGTTACCTTATTTCATGTCTTGACTATAATAATTACATCTTGGCTTTCCTCTAATTTTGTCTTAACTCTTTCAATTTATTGTTCCCTATTATATGAAATTGAAATTCTTGATTCAAGGACTACTAAAATAAGCCTTCATTTGGTCTTTTCAGCTTTATTTTTCTCCCTGTGGAAAACGGTAATTTCCACTTGATCCAGTCTCCTCAATGTTCTCCACACATCTATGATTTGTCAAGATGTATGTACTTTTCATTGTGCTGTGTTCTCCCTTTCATATACTATATATCTTTTAAGTTAAGTCTTGAGATTTTTTTCTCCATAAAATGTTCCTTAACTACTCCACATTCTTTTTCTGAATTCCTATGCTACCTACTAATTAAAACACAACTCTTAGATATGGTTTTATAATTTGATACCTGATTATACATGGTTTATATTTAAGGATTCTTTCCTTAAGAGGATAAGATCCTCTGTTCGAATCTTTTTTGCTGTAGTATATAATATGTTAAGTATTCAGTAGTTGCTTCATTAACTGTGGAGCTATACAGAGGATGTATATTTTCCTCTATTCAGAAAGCTTATACTGGTAATTCCTTTCAGATGTACCTGCTCAGGCCATCGCTGTATAGATTCTGATTGAAATGGTTGAATTCTGCCAAGCACTGTCTATCTAGGTAGGATACACAGTGTTAATGTACACTCAGAAGAGTTCAAAGGCGATAACCAATAAAGTATTCTTTTCTGTGAAAAAGGATTACTATCAAAATCTACATTTTTCATGAAATATTTATAACTTGATTAAGCTTGTAAAAAGATTTGTTAAAAAGACTTTCCTAGACGATAACCATTTTCAAGTTATAAAGAAATAGTGCTTAAAGTGGTGGGGGGAAATAAGTGAAGGAATTTTCATATCATTGAATGATAGCATTTTCTTGAAAATTATCTAAATATGAGCAGAAGTAAGACTGGAAGGCAAGCCAACTGATTAAAAGAACATGAGCAAAGCATGTGATTAAGTGAGATATTTATAAGGCAATAAATATGAGGCCTTACTGTTGTTCTGTGTGAGATTTGTCAGATATGTGGACAACACTGAAAGCTTGTTTGAGTATAAAAAGTGAATCTAGGTGATTTAAAGTCTTGTTTACAGAGGTTCCTTGTATGTTCGTGTTGAGGGTAATGGACTGAAGGAAAAAAACCTAGGTTTAACATTGTTCTTTTGGATGTGGATGATTGCAGAGTAACAGAAGTCAAATATAGCTACAAAATTATAAGAGAAATGAAGGTTAAAGTTAATGATTTAGAATGAGAATGAACAATCTAATCTTGTCCAACATATGGAAAACTGAGTTTAGAGAAGTTATTATATTGGGGAAAGACTTGCAGCAGCAGTCTTTAAACCTGAAAAAGTGAGTCTGCAGAGAGGAATAGTTATAATTGATGGTCATGAGATTTTGTTACTGAACCATCTTAGAAGGATAGATAATAGCAATATGAATATGCCAGTAAAAATACCCCCAGTCAGTTTTATAATTCCTGTTGGAAGTATTTTCTTAGCTCTTTTCTCACAAGAGAAAATGATTCCCAGCTATATGGGGGATTAGAGCCTAGGCTATAAGATTGTCTTTTGGGGTGCCTGGGTGGCTCAGTCGTTAAGCGTCTGCCTTTGGCTCAGGTCATGATCCCAGGGTCCTGGGATTGAGCCAAACTTAGGGCTCCCTGCTCGGCGAGGAGCCTGCTTCTCCCTCTCCCACTCCCCCTGCTTGTGTTCCCTCTCTCGCTGTCTCTTTCTCTGTCAAATAAATAAATAAAATCCTAAAAAAAAAAAAAAAGATTGTCTTTCTAGGGGCGCCTGGGTGGCTCAGTTGGTTGACAGTCCAACTTTTTGATTTTGGCTCCGGTCATGATCTCAAGGTCCTGAGATCAAGCCCCGCATCAGGCTCTGCACTCACTGGAGAGTCTGCTTGAGGATTCTCTCCCTGTCCCCTGACTTGCATGTGTACTCTTTCTCTCTAAAATGTATCTTTTTAGAAAAAGTGTCTCTCTAAACACTCGGAAATTGATACTTGGAAAGATTAATTAGCCATTGATAGCTACATGGAAAGGGTTGGTGGAACAACTGGAAGTGTTTTGCCTCACAATCTAGGGATGAATGTATAAAAATACAGGCTCTGATCTGTGTTCTCCAAAAGTAATCCTTCCTCTAGTATTTTTCTTGAAGAAGCTTTTCTACTAATTTTTCTTGTCCATCCTACTTAAAGTTTATTGTCTTTGAAAGACTCACTTCATTGCTTCTGAATCCACCTATCCAAGCATCGGTCTCTCACCATTCTTTGTCTTCTCCTCACTGCTTGGTGTATTTGTTTCACTTTCTGTATGAAGTTCTGGTACAAAGTGCAAAACTGGCTAATGTACATTGCTTAATTTTTTATTTTCTCCACACTGAGGCATAGTTTTTATTTAGGTTTTGTGTCTTTTCCCAGGCACGGAGTAATTTGTCCTGGGTCTTTCTTGATCTCATATGCTAGATACTAGTACAACTTCTTTCCATAGCAAATATGTGAAGATTCACAAATTGTTATTAATTATATTCTTTTGTAGAAGAAAATTGGAAAGAGGAAGACTTTTTAGTGAAATTCAAGGAACACCAAGATAAGTTTTCTAGATCAGTTGTATTCATCAACCACAAAAAACTGATTAAGGAAAACAGTAATGCATATGAAAAGACATTTACTTTAAGCAAAAACCCTGTTAATTCAAAAACTCTACCTCCTGAATATGACACTCATGGAAAGATTTTTAAAAATGTTTCAGAATTAATCATCAGTAATCTAAGTCCTGCAAGAAGAAGACTTAGTGAGTATAATGGATATGGGAAATCACTCCTCAATACTAAAGCGGAGACAGCTCAACCTGGAGTCAAATCCCATAATCAACGTGGCAAGGCTGTCAGTCATAATGAAGTACTTATGCAATATCATAAGGTGGAAACTCCAGCACAGTCATTTGGATATAATGACTGTGAGAAAGCCTTCCTTAAAAAGGGAGGCTTAATTACACATAATAGAGCTTACAGAAGAGAAAATCCATCTGAGTATAATAAAAGGAGAAGAACAACCAATATTGAAAAAAAACATACATGCACTGAATGTGGGAAGTCCTTCTGCAGGAAGTCAGTATTGATTCTGCATCAGGGAATTCACACAGAGGAAAAACCCTATCAGTGTCATCAATGTGGAAATTCATTTAGAAGGAAGTCCTATCTCATTGATCATCAGAGAACTCACACAGGAGAGAAACCCTTTGTTTGTAATGAATGTGGAAAGTCCTTCCGCCTAAAGACAGCCCTCACTGATCATCAGAGAACACATACAGGGGAGAAATCATACGAATGTCCACAGTGTAGGAATGCCTTCAGATTGAAGTCACACCTCATTCGTCATCAGAGAACTCATACAGGAGAGAAACCGTATGAGTGTAATGACTGTGGGAAGTCCTTCCGCCAGAAGACAACACTCTCTTTACATCAGAGAATTCATACAGGAGAGAAACCCTATATTTGTAAAGAATGTGGGAAGTCCTTTCATCAGAAGGCAAACCTTACTGTACATCAGAGAACTCATACGGGGGAAAAGCCCTATATTTGTAATGAATGTGGAAAATCTTTCTCCCAGAAGACAACCCTCGCTCTTCACGAGAAGACTCATAATGAGGAGAAACCCTATATTTGTAATGAATGTGGGAAGTCCTTCCGCCAGAAGACAACCCTTGTGGCACATCAGAGAACACATACAGGGGAAAAATCCTATGAATGTCCTCACTGTGGGAAGGCCTTTAGGATGAAGTCATACCTCATTGATCATCACAGAACTCACACAGGAGAGAAACCATATGAATGTAATGAATGTGGGAAATCCTTCAGTCAGAAGACAAATCTGAATCTACATCAGAGAATTCATACAGGGGAGAAACCCTATATCTGTAATGAATGTGGGAAGTCCTTTCGCCAGAAAGCAACTCTCACTGTACATCAGAAAATACATACAGGACAGAAATCCTATGAATGCCCTCAGTGTGGGAAAGCCTTTAGCAGGAAATCATATCTCATTCATCATCAAAGAACTCATACAGGAGAGAAACCATATAAATGTAATGAATGTGGGAAGTGCTTCCGCCAGAAGACAAATCTCATCGTACATCAGAGAACTCACACAGGGGAGAAACCCTATATTTGTAATGAGTGTGGTAAGTCCTTCAGTTACAAGAGAAACCTCATTGTCCATCAGAGAACTCACAAGGGAGAAGACATAGAAATGCAATAAATGATGTGACTTCTTTGTAAAGCCTATCCAAGTTATTGTAAAACTTTAGTTTAAAAAAAAAAGCATGCTAAAACATTTTAATAAGGTAATTTTAATCACAAATGTAATAATAGTTAAAGTACCAACTACATAACTACTGTTTACTAGCATATATAATGGGTATGATCATTGTTATTGAACTCTATCAGAAATGAAGCTAATCTTTAAGTTTTCAAGTTCTGTTGACTCAGTTTATTTTTTTAAAAAGTACTTACATGCAGAGGCAATTACAAAATGGTCATAAAATCAATTTTTATAAAAGAAAGAAAATATGAAATATATTTCTCCTTATGCTCTGGAATAAAAAAGTTGTTACTTCCCCAAAGATTACCAAGTACCTGGCTTATAATGTCATGAAGTAGTCTTTGCATGTCTTTAAACTTTGTTTTATCATGTGTCATGAATTTTTTTGTGTCTTGTTTCACTCTACATTTTTAAGATTCATACATTATTGCATGTGGCAGTAATGTGTTCATTTTCATTCTCTTTACTCTTCATTTTAAAATATACCACTATTTATCCTCTTGATGGATATTGGTATTTTTTATAATTTTGTGTTGTAATAAAAATACTGCTATAAATGCTATAAATATTCATGTGTGTGTGTATTTCTGTTAATCTTATATTAAGATGAATTATTCAGTCCATGGGTATATGCAAGTTTCTTCAGCTATGGTAGATAACTGCCAGACATCTCAGACCTTTCTGACTATGAGTTGTTTCACTTTGGAGAGTAACAGCTCTGATTGTAAGCAATGTGGAGAAAGGTCTTTTAGCAGTCATCCAACTGGAGAATTCTAAAAAAAATTCATATAATGTTATAATTGTAAGAAGACTGTTAGTCATGAATATATTAATGTAATAAATTTTAAAAAGATTCTTTAGCTGTGGCTTAAACCTTACACAAAACCAGAGAATTCATATTGGAGGGAGTCCTACCATTGTCATGATTATAGGGATACTTTTAGCCATAACTTACACCTTATTCAACATCAAAGAATTCATACTAGAGAAAGGGAGGCCAAGAAGTGACATAGATGAGTAAAATTTGGGAGAATAAGTCACTGTAGACAGAATTATGAAATAGATATATAAGTAAGCCTTTATACCTTGATTTTTCTCAGGAAGTGTGGGTCTCTGAACTTCTCAAATGAAAAATCACTAGAGGGGCGCCTGGGTGGCTCAGTTGGTTAAGTGTCTGCCTTGGGCTCAGGTAATAATCCCAGGGTCCTGAGATCGATTCCACATCGGGCTCCCTGCTCAGTGGGGTGCCTGCTTCTCCCTCTCCTCCCTGCTTGTGGTCTCTGTCGCTATCTCTCTCTCTCAAATAAAAAATAAAATCTTTTTAAAAAGAGAGAGAAAAATCACTGGAGAGATTGTGATGTTTGAGAATTGGAAATCTGCTAAAACAATAACGTCTATAGCATCTTTTCTATGAAAATAGTAAATTCAGCAGCACCTGGAACAGTGTTACTGAAAGTCCCTGATTATTTATAATATATATTTACTGTATACAATGTTACTCTGTGTAATAAAATGCAGTGGAAATTTAAATAAGCTTCCCCTGCCCCTCAGTTGAGGCCTTCTGTCTTACAGAAAGGGACAGCAATTGCCAGTGGATAATAAATGGAAACATGCTTGTCCAGGGCTTGCAGATAACTTGAGAGAAAAAAAAAAAGTAGGTGATAAGGAAAATCTGACATGATAAAAATTCAGACTTGAGAGGGTCATAGAAAATATAATGCTTTGTCTGGCCAGACAGAACATTGTGGAATTTAGCCTTAACAAATAATTATTTATGCTTACAGGGATTTGGGGTTTTTTGAGGTTTGGGGTTTGTTTTGTTTTTTGAGTGTGGGCACTTTGAACATACTAGAATAAAATAAATAGGTAAGTCATAGGGTCTGTATTCATAACTATGAGAATCTAGTAATTGTTTCATTTGAATAAATCTATATTTGTATATGAATAAATATTATATGCTAACAATTGGCAATTAACAAAAGAATTATACTCACAACTGAGGATGTAAGCCTATCCTTTTTCCTGGGTATGTAGTGAGCGGGGAGGTAGTGGTATAACTGAATCTGTTCTAGCCTCAACCAACCAAAGATGTTGGGAATGTGTGAGTCACTTTTTCTTGGATATTCTACTCTCATTTGTTTCTTCTCTCCTATGCATTTCTGTGGCCGTCATAAAAATAAATTAACTAGCATTCCTACATGTGCTATCCTGCCTCCTGGTTTACTAATTATGTCCTGAAATAGCCATGTTTTGTTTTCAGTAGAGCACTGTATGCATATACTTATTTTATTGCTATACATAGTACATAATATTCATGTTTTATAGGTCTTGTGTATGAGGTACTAGAAAATCTGGTGTACTAACGGACAGTGTTTTAAATGGCTAAACTTAAAAATACAATTATGAACTCACAGATGACTAGGCTGTTTTCTTACCTCAGAATTTCCATTATAGGAGGTTATATAAATAAGTCAAAAGTATTTGTATAGTAATCATTGGGAATTTCTACATATTTATGCTCTTAACTATTTCCCAAGATCTCCCCCAATTTCTACTCTCCTATCATAGTTACTATATCCACCAAAATATATATCACTTATAGGAGGGGATGGAATGGTGTTATTAGAAGAGATACATTGCTACTGTATTCATTGTAATGAAAACTAAAAACAGGCCAGTCCCAGACTCCTTTGGTACCATAGGACAAACAGCAAATATCCTAAACCTATATTTCACATTTTATATTTCCCTTACTCCCAATCCTATAGTAAGCCCTCCTCATGCAAATCTCTGGGATGTAATATATCTCAGTTGGCTAAAGAGGGAAGGGGCAAAAAAGACATGCAAATGTTTGGCCATAAAATGTTACCTACTTTAAGTGTCCCTGCAAAAATTCAAAGAAGTGGCAGAAGCGAAGTTTTCTGTATGATTGTTCTGTTTTTAAATTTATAATTTTTAACTTTTCCATTTAAAGTCAAGTCCATTCAATTTAATTTTATAAGTATGCTACTTTATAAATATACTGCAATTTTCTTGTTTTAACCACCAAATCTGTGATGATTTTTATGGGAGCGCCAGGACATTAATACAGATTTTGGTACCAGGAAATGGGGTTTCTGCTAAAACAAACACCTAAAAATGTGGAAGTGCATTTCGGCAATGGGTAGAGGCTGGAAGAATTTTAAGCCACGTGACAGGAAAGCCTAGATTGCCTTAAACAGACTGTTAGGCTTAGAGATGGTAAGGTGTAGGCTCAGGAGGAAAAGAGCAAGATTGAGAAAGCTATTTTCTTAGAGGATACATATAGCCTCATGAGGAGAATGTTACTGCAAATATTAACATTTAATAGTGTTTCTGGTGAGGGTTCAAAAGAAAATGAGAAAACTGTTGCTGGAAACTGGTGGAAAGATGATTTGTATTACATAGTAGAAAACTTGGCTGAATTGTGTTTTATAGTTGTGTGAAAAGCAAACTTGTGATTAATTTGAATACTTGGCTGAGGAAATTTCCAAGGAAAATGTTGAAGGTGGGACCTGGTGTATTCTTGCTGCTTATAGTTAAAATGTGAAAGAAAAGAGAAATTGAGGAAGTAACTATTATGCAAAAAGGAACCAAAGTCTGATTATTTGGGGGAATTAGCCTATCCAAACTGCAAAGGATGCTGAAATTAGGAGATTCACTGGAGAAAGCTTGCTCTGGAGAGAGGGTGTACCAGGACAACTTTAGCTGAAGAGATTAGGTATGTGATTCATGGATGCAATCAACCATCTCAGTAGAAATGAAGAGATGGTTGTCCAACAGTGATGGCTTTTTTTTTTTTTTTTGAGTGTAGGCAGTTTGTCCTGCCTCCTGTCTAATTGTGTGGATCCCTGTGACAAACAGAGAAGACCCACAACCCGTAAGGTCTTTGCAAATTTTGTATCAGCAGAAACACTGCTAGCTTGGACTGACAAGAACAGAGACAGGATGAAATAACAAGGCTGTCAGGTTTCCAAAATTCTACAGGCAGGAAATGGGCTGATCAAGATACTCAACTATAAACATGCGTTACCCTTCAAGAAAAGAGGACAAATGACCATGAGCCATGGACCTTGAGGGCAGAGACCCAACCTGGAAGGTAGAGTCTCAGGGCACAGGGGATTACTGTCAGGCCTTGAAAACTAATGGTATTTACTCCACTGGGTTTTGAACTTTCTTGGGACCAGTGACTTTTTGTGTGTTTATTGACCATCTATATAGTTTATGTTTATATCTTTTGTCTGTTTTTTTTTTCTTTTTTGGGGGGATTATGTGGGGGTTTATGCTGTTGGATATTGAGAGTTCTTTATATATATTAGATATTAGTACTTAGCAAGATATGTGATTTGCAAGGATTTTCCTCTAGTGGGTAGGTTGTCTTTTCATCCTCTTAGCAAAGTCTTTTGCAGAGCAGAAGATTTTAACTTTGATGAGATCTAATTTATCAAATTTCTCTTTTATGAATCATGCTTTTGGTATCAACTCTAAGATCTCTTTACCTAGCTCTAAATCCCCCCAATTTTTTCTTTGTTTTTTTCCTGCAAGTTTTATAGTTTTATGTTACACATTTTTAAGTCTACAATCCATTTTGAGTTAGTGTTATATGATTGTATCATATATGTGAGATATTATTGAGTTATAATGTATAAGACTTAGGTAAAGGATTTTTTGTTTGTTTTTGTTTGCCTGTAGTGTCCAATTGCTCCAGCACCATTTATTGAAAAAGCTGTCCTTCCTCCACTGAATTTGTTTCATACCTCAGAAATCAGTTGGGCATGTTTATGTGAATCCAGTTCTGGTTCTTTGTTTTGTTCCATTGATCCAAGGGCCAGTTTCTACTAATACCACACTGCCTTTATTATTGTATCTAAACTATAAATCTTGATATTGGGTTGAGTGATTCCTCCTACTTTGTTATTCTTTATCAAAATGACTTTACACATTCCAGCTCATGTGTCCTTCCATATAAATTTTAGAATAATCTGATCTTTAAAAAAAATAATAATCTGGTTTATATTTACCAAGATAGAAAAAGTAATGGCCTCACAAATATATCCCCATCTTAATCCCTGGAACTTGTGAATTTCCAGGTTACATAGCAAGGGATTGCAGATAGAATCAAGGTTGCTAACCACCTGTCTTTAAATAAATTATTCTGGATTATTCACACGGGTATGATGTAATCACAAAGGTCTTTTTAAATATGGAAGAGACAGAAGAGGAAGTCAGAATGATGCCTTTTGAGAAGGACTCTATCTGTTGTTGCCTGCTTAGAAGATGGAGACCAAGAGGGCCATGTGCCAAAGAATGCAGGCAGGCAGCCTCTAGAAGCTGGAAATGACAAGAAGATTAAGAAGAAAGAGGAGGAGGAGAATAGAGGAGAAGATAGAAGAAGGTGCCACCTGAGCCTCCAAAAGGCCATAAAAGAATGCAGCTTGCCCACAACTTGCTTTTAGCCCAAT